ACTATTCTTAACATCCCCCCTTTTTACATACCTACCAAGTAATACTCTTTAATCCCTGCACATTTTCCGCCATTCTCCTCCTTCTGCCTCCCAGCTGATAACCCTCCAAATGATCTCCACACCTATAATTCTGCTCCTGTTCTAGTTGTTTGCTTAGTTGTTTTAAAGATTCAGTTTTTGATACTTGTGAATTTGTTGTCATTTTAATGTTCATAATTTGACCTTCTCTCTTTTTTTTTAAACAAGCCCCTTTACTATTTCATGTAAAAATATCTTGGTGATGATGAATTCCTTTAGCTTTACCTTATCTGGGAAGCACTGTATCTGTCCTTCCATTCTAAATGATAGGTGTGGTGGATAGAGTAATCTAGGTTGTGGGCCCTTGCTTTTCATCACTTTGAATACTTCTTTCCAGCAGCTTCTTGCCTGTAAGGTTTCTTTTGAGAAATCAGCAGATAGTCTTATGGGAACTCCTTTGTAGGCAACTCTGCTTTTCTCTTGCTGCTTTTAAGATGCTCTCTTTATCTTTAACCTTTGGCACTTTAATTGTGATGTGTCTTGGTGTGGTCCTCTTTGGATCCAACTTGTTTGGGACTCTCTGTGCTTCCTGGACTTGTAGGTTTATTTCCTTCACCAAATTAGGGAATTTTCCTTTCTTTATTTTCTTGAAATACGTTTTCAGTTTCTTGGTCTTCCTCTTCTCCTTCTGGCATCTCTATGATTCGGATGTTGGCACATTTGGAGATGTCCCAGAATCTTCTTATACTTCTCTTATTTGAATTCTTGTTTCTCCATTCTGTTGTGATTGAATGTGTATTTCTTCCTTATGTTCCCAGCTTCTTTCCCTTCACTGTTGGTTCTCTGTAGATTTTTCTTTCTTTCACTTAGAGTAACCTTCTTTTCTTCCTTCCTCCTGGCTGCCTGTTGGTCTTAGCCCCCGCATGAGCCTTCAGTGGTGCGATAGCTGTGTTAGGCAGTGTTTCATGAGTCACCAGGAAGGGGTGAGTGGTGTTTACCACGGTGATACAGATTCAAACTCAGTGTCAGTTCTGTGTCTGAGGCCACTAATAAGTGTTTCAGGGTACATCAAGGCCATCTGCCACCTGCCTGGGACTTGTAAAACTTTGTGGCATAGCAGGGTCTCCAAGAGTCATTAGGGTGAGGCCAGTGGTGTTCATCAGGTTAAAACAGATTAAAATTTGGCTGTGTGGAGGGAGGGCTCAGCACAGGAATGGTGGCATTGGTTGGGGCACATGGGGGTGGTGAGGGCGAGGGAATGGCTCTCATCCAAGAGCCACACAGAATGCACCTTGAGTCTGCCCAGATCTGCTCAAGAGTCCCTCAGAAAGAGAGCAAAGCGAGCCCAGGCTGGCCACAGCAGCAGACTCCTTGGCGCGACCGAGCCTCAGTGGGTTGGGATGGGCGGCTATGCATCTCCCTAGGACAGTGCTGGGGCGGGGGGTGGTTCGCTGGTCAGGTGTGCCAGAAAAAAATGGTGTTTCTTCCTTTTAAAAATATGTTCATAACATTTTTGGGACTTTAATAGTCAGTGTTGTAACCACAACCATCATATTCATGATATGTTTTGCATAAGGTTTATTTGAATTATCATCAATAGATTATACTTTTATTTTCTTAGGCCAGTGTCATTAAAAAGTTTTATAGTATATATAAGGTCAAATAATTGCAGGATTAGTAAGACTTACAACTTTAAATCTATTCAAATTGAAAGTATTGTTAGTTATATAACTGAAGGATGATGCTCTTTACACATTCTTGGATATTTCCAGTGACAAGGAGATGCACTGCTCTCCATTGAGATGTAAAGCTGCTAATTAAATTCTTTCCATCTACATTGAAAATGAACATCTTTTTACCATGTCTGTCCTTAGTTCTTGAGGCACCACATGGAATAGGCCTCATCAAGTTTCTACCAACCTTCAGGTGCTTGAAGACCATATTATATCTCTGCTGCTTTAACTAAAGCTCTGGAATTTATAAGATAGTGCTTAAAAGCATTGGTGTTGGAATTAGAGAGCCTTAGCTCAGTCATTTCCTAGTTATGTCATCATCAAATTATTTAATGTCTTTCAGTTTGTTTGTAAAATAATACCTTCTTTTTTTGAAGTTTCTTGTGGAGATTAAATGTAGTAACTTTACAATTTATCAAAAATACTTAGAACATAGTAAGTGGACACAATACATAATTAACTGATTAACTACTTTGTTAATATTTTTCCTTGAGATGACTTACACCCCTTAGTCCTATGAATGTGCCCAGCATGTGACTCTTTAACAATGACTTAAAGTGCACCTAATAAGAGTTGATCATAATGAATGGGACCAGTTAGGTTATAACCTAACTGATTCGTATTCTGTCTTGAATACTGATATTTATTAGAGAAAACTATAGAGACCTAGGGATACACAGATAATTTCAAAAGCAGTGAGACACATGCTATCACAAGCAAAGGCTTTAAAGACATAAAAACAAACAGACAAAAAAAGGGGGGGGCGCGTAGCAATGCAGGTGACGTAGGTTAGAACTGGAGCCCTTCTACCATGCAGAGTGTCTTGGAGAGGTACGGGTATTTCCCACTTGACAGCATCCCTTTCTGATGATCTCATTGCTACTGTTTCAGAACTAGATGATAATGTAGTTTCACAAACTAATTGCTCCCTCAGGGCCATCCGTGAATCCACAGCAGGGCCTAAGGGGGTCTGAGAAACTTCCAAGGAAGCAGTTCCGGGAGGGTGGGTTTGCCCAGGTCTTCACTGCGCAAACCCTAGGAGGCCCAGCTCTTCATTAGCAGGACGACCGAAGGGCCTTCTGCGGGAGCGCCCTGGGCTCCGCTCAGGAACCGTGAGCGGGGGTCTGTGCCGACCTGAGGGAAACGCGCTGTGCTCCCGCTGGACTGCGTGAGTGTTCAAACTGCCGCTCAGCCTCACGCTCAGCCTCTGCTCCTCACACACACAGGGGCCCCGCACAGCGCCGCTTCTGGTCCCCGTGCGCTTCTTTCCCTAAACGGGACTTAGAGAAGACAGGAGTATAGACTCATACATGACCATGATGTGTGATCACAGGCCTTTGCCACCCAGGGAGAGGTGACCCGGACCTCGCAGAACTGTGCGTGGCTCAGAGATGACACTCGAGTTTGGCTGAAGGAGGCAACAGGAAGCCGGCGGTCCGCAGCATTCCTCCCCGTCGCCCGCGTTTCCCCGTCCCATTGCCATCGCTCCGCACGTGCGGCTCTAGGGTGGTGTGTGACTTGCTCGTTTTGCTTGGTCATGCCCTTTAGAGAAGCTTTGAAGTGGCATTTGCCACAGCCGATGATTTGAATTCCCATGGCAAACGTGTCTCTCTATAGCTTCAAAGCTCCCGTCCTGGAGTTGATGTTACGGTATAGTGTCAAGGTAAGGCATAAATCTGCTGTCTGACCTTTAAAGCTAAGCGAGGTGTTGACTAGATGTGCTCTGAAGTCAGGACTGGAAATGACCAGCAAGAAGAAAAACAAGAATGCTTTTCCCACCTTCGTGTAAAATGGTGAGAACTCATCTCGAGGGGCGGCACGGGCCTAACAACAGGGCAGGCTCTGCTCAGAAAACAGAGGCAAATATAGGACAATTTCCTTAGTGATTAAGGGTGTGCGCGAGGCATGAAAAAGTTTGAGTCTAGGCCCTGTTACATATTTGCTTTGTCAATTTGGGCAGCTTGCTTCCTTTTTCCAAGTGTCAGCTTCCTGATCTGTAGACGGAAATAGTGATGATAGTTTCTTCTAGGAAGTTTCTTTGAAAAATTAGTCATGGTTTTAAAGTGTTAAGACCAGTCCTTGAGGCACAGGAAATATTCTTCAAATGGAATGTATACATAGGCACGCGCCCATGTCTGAATATTAGGATCAGTATTTATTAGTATTAGTTTTCGTATCAGCACGTGATATCGGAGGAGGCGGCGTCTGTGTCTTCCGACACCATGCCCTGCCCTTGACTTGTTTAACCTTCCCCGTTAGGGCCGCTCGTTGCCTTCCTGCTCTGTGGTCACTGTATTTCGTTCTTCACTGCAGGAACATGGATTTGATGCTTTCCTTGCTGCTACTATTTTTTGTTTTTGCTTAGCGTTTCAGAGTTGCCTAAAGTCCACTTAGAAAAGGTAAAAAAGACCAGAAGCACCAGAGCAGCATCTCCTGATTGATTTGGGGGTATTAGACTCCCCAAGTCTGGAAAGATGTGAACTGAAAAGGATATGATCTAAGTCTATTCAATAATGTTGTTTAATAAAACATTTATTTGCAGGTCATTATATGGTACATTTAAGAAAGGCACTTGAAGAAATAAGTTTAAGATACAGAAAAGAAAGGAACACTTTTCATTACGATTTATGTTTTTGCCTAATTTCAGACATTTCATAAGCTTTACTATGGTACTAGGGCATTTTTTGTGTTGATGTTGTGGTTGTCATAATAACTGATTTTTATTCTGTAGGTAATGGAACTATATCTATGAAAATGTGTGAATTACTTCAACTAGAATGTCAAATAGTGGCAAAAACAAGACTTAAATGAAGTCTGCTGAGTTCTGATGTGATTTCCTTCCCTGATATTTTTCAGAGTAATAAATAGTGAAAGTTTGTTACTCAAAGATATTGTGAGAATCAAACTGTGAATATGCCTAAAGAAAGTCAATGCATGAATTAGATAACTGTAGAAAGGTTTTTAACTTAACTTAAGAATGCTCTGAATGTACCTTTACATTTCCGATCCTGCCGAAGACAGCTCCTGCCTCCACAAAAACATTTCTCCCGGGAGCTGGATGGACAGTGGCTCCAAAATGAGCCTTCCGTCTTCAGCGGCACTTTTACGCAGACCTCGCCGTTCCTAGGCAGGCCCGTTACTGCAGGTCCAGGACTCAGGCAGCGCCGGCGGCGGCGCGGGGCTCGGGAACTCGGGCCGGCGCTCAGGCGCGGCGTCGGGAGCCTTTCGCGCAGGCCCGCCCGCCGGGCCATGCGGAACGCGTCGGCGGTGACCGAGTTCGTCCTGCTGGGCCTCCCGTGCACAGAGGGCCTGGAGACGGAGCTCTTCGTCCTCTTCCTGTCCTTCTACACCCTCGCCCTCGCGGGGAACCTGCTCATCCTCCTGGCCATCGCCTGCTCGGCCCAGCTCCACACGCCCATGTACTGCTTCCTGTGCGAGCTGGCCCTGTGCGACCTGCTCTTCCCCTCCGTGAGCACCCCCGAGCTGCTCTTCTACCTCTCGGGACACAGCCACGCTGTCTCCTATGCGGGCTGCGCGTCCCAGCTCTTCTTCTACCACTTCCTGGGCTGCACCGAGTGTTTGCTGTGCACGGTGATGGCCTATGACCGCTTCGTCGCCATATGCCACCCTCTGCGCTACCGGATGATCATGAGCCACAGGGTGTGCGCCGTCCTGGCCGTGGGCACGTCGTTCTTTGGCTGTGTTCAGGCCACCTTCCTAACCACTCTCACCTTCCGGCTGCCCTACTGCGGCCCCAATGAGGTGGACTATTTCTTCTGTGACATCCCCGTGATGCTGAAGCTGGCTTGTGCGGATACGTCCGCCCTGGAGACGGTGGGGTTCGTCAGTGTGGGCCTCATGCCGCTCAGCTGCTTCCTTCTCATCCTCACCTCCTACAGCCGCATCGTCTACTCCATCCTGCAGATCCGCTCTGCGCAGGGCCGCCATCGGGCCTTCTCCACCTGCAGCGCCCACCTGACGGCCGTCCTAGTGCTATACATGCCCGTGGTCCTGATCTACCTGAGGCCAACCCCAAGTCCCTGGCTGGACGCCGCCGTTCAGGTCCTCAATAACCTGGTGTCCCCCATGCTGAACCCCCTGATCTACAGCCTCAGGAATAAGGAGGTGAAATCTTCTCTGAGGAACGTCCTCCATCGACTGGGCTTTCTTCCTGAGCGGTGGTAGAGAACAGTGGCTTACCTTTTAACTCTACTTTGTAATTAAAAAGTATTTTTATATTGTTCTCAGAAATATTTTTGAATTTGAGAGTGCAGGTGTTAGTATGATTCTCCCCATTTCACAACGTAGGGACTAAGGTTCAAAGAGCTAAAGTGACTTGGCAGAAGATACAGAAGGAGTGATGGCAGAATGAAGACCCTAGGCTGGTGCCAGATGCCGGGACCTGTGCCCTCTGGAGGCCCTCACGTTGCTGACGGGGAGGCAGGGGCCTGTCGCAGTAGGCGGGGCGCCTGTGCCTTCTACTCTCAGCGCCATTTCCTTCCTGCACCCGTACCCCCTCCTCCTCTCCTTCCCCCTCGCTGTGACTCTTCTTTCTCTTGGCTGCACTGATTTTCTCTCCACATATCTGAATTGAATTCATTTGATCAGTCCAGAGCTTGTCTAAAACATGGGAGAGGTACATCCCCATGGTTGTAAGTAGCACCGGAAAAATGAAGCTGGGTGAAGAGAAGGGCTTGTTGTAGGGACCTGGGGCAGGGTTGGCATGGATCAAGCAAACGTGCTGGGGGACTGTTATCGCCCATAAACCCCGTCTGTTGGGCCGTGACCTGGAAGTGGGCCCTGGCGGGAGCAGTGCAGGCAGTGACCGAGGACGTGGAAAGGGCCGATGGGGCCTCCAGGAGGGGGAGTGTGGTCTGATGCCGCCTTAGAAATCTGGACGAGGCTTTGCAGTCCTCAGTGCAATCAGGGACGACTGTGGGTTCAAGCTGTCACTCTTTCCTGTCTGTGGTTTCTCTCTGTAATTTAAAGTGTTTCACACGGTTCCCCATTCCCTCTTTTTTATTTTATTATTATTATTTTTTTTTTTTTTTTGCTGAAATGAGCTAAGAAGAAAAAAAGTGCTATTTCAACGCAGCAGGCTTTTTATGACTGAAGGCAGTGATATGGCCCCTGTGGAGTTTATTCCAACAGTGACGTAGAGCAGGAAGGCAACTGAGAAGAGGAAAGTGGACAAGGAAGGGGCAGGGGTGGAGACCAGCCCGTGTGTACTTCTCAGAGTCAGAGAGCAGCCAAGGAGCCTGCCTGAGCAAACAGCATTGCCTGTCAGCCTCCAGCCCAGGCAGGGAGACAAGCTGCCTGTCACTGCCCCGCATCCTAGATCCCCTCCCAGTGCCGGTTCTCCCTTGTCTCCCCCTGGACAGGAGCTGGCGGGAGAAAGTGGAAATCCATCTCCAATTATTTCAAATTCAGTACATCCCTGCTGAAGCTTCTCCCAGTCCCTTTGAGGATCCCTTCCCACTCCTCAGTGTCCTGGGGGGAGCTGCTCAGACGGTGAAAATGCAACAACATGTAAGAACATGTAAAGGGAGCGATCCGATTCCCTCCTGTTTGCACTCACACAGGAGTCATTTGATGGATGACTTTGTGCTGGGGCCGGGGGAGTCATGAGAAGGCGGAGCAGACATGGTCACCTGCGTGGGCCACAGTCTGCCGGAGAAAATAAACAGATATGCAACTGCCATCCCACGATAGCGGCATGAAATATAGCAGAAAACATGGACTGTGTTTTCTGGGGCTGTGGAGGCACCCACAAAAGAGGTGTAGAGGGTTGAAGGTTTTTGTTTGTTTTTTTGCCCCCCACCCCCCAGGAAGAATGGCTTTTACAGGGAGAAATGTTTTTCAGGGAAGAATGACATACTTCTCAATCTTTTGTGTTTGGGGTGTGGGGATGAGACAGAATTCCTTGCATGGGAGTAGACGTTCTTGGAAGAAAAATGGAGCAGGGAATAGGCAGGATGGACCAGAACAATGGAGGAAAAAATGAGACAAGTGTAAGAGAACAATAATAAAATATTTAATATAAATAAATTTAATTTGACTTGTTTTCAGAGTTCTTCCTTTCGGCTTGGCAATTGGTCCTGAATTGGAGCAATGCCTTGTACCAAAGGACTCTAAATCCTTGAACAAAGTGACTTGTCTGCTTGTCTAGGGCTTTGGAGAGACACAGGAAGCTCCCCCGGCCTGCAGGTGGCGCCTGCGCTCTCTTTCCACCTGGCCTGGAGGCCGGCGTGTCAGGCCCAGCCTCGGGTTTGGAAGCTCCGACTGGGTTTGAAGGTGGGATGAGACTTTTCTGTGCAGCAGGTATGAAAGGACAATATTGGAAGAATTTTGAAAACGAAAACACTGGGAGCACTCCCAAGCCAGGCTATTTAATCTGCAGGGGCGGAACACACACAGCAGCTCCAGGCCGAACCTGGCGTGGGCGCAGGAGCGGCAGCGGCGTGTCGGGCCTCCGGGAGCACAGACGTGGAGGCGGAGACTCCGAGTGCGTCCTGACCAGGGCGACCTGGAGCAGTGGCATTCCCTAGGCGCTGGATTCCAACGTGGCCCAGGACTGGCCCCTAATTCCTGACCCCGGGTGGACCTCGTTCCTGTAGAAGGCTTCTCTGGTCAGCGTTGCAATGCATTCTGCAAACCTACCACTGTGGCCTCCACTCATTTCTCTCGGCCCCTCCCTCAGTCGGCTACATAACCAGTGCCTGTTCTGGATTTCACGGATGCCTTTCGTTTTACCTACATCGCCCGGGGAGAGGCACTGTGATGAGGGCAGGTATCGTGGGAACCTGAAGGGGTGCTGAGCTCAGGCTGCTCACGGGCTCTGCGGGAGTGTGCGCGGACGTTTTCCGAGGCGTGTCCACGGCAGCCGCCTGTTCTGCTTATTCCTTGCTCTCCCGGGCACCCTGCTGATTGTTCCCAATCAAATTAATTGAAATAAATAACTGGTCAGAGTTAATGGTTTTAGTCGTTGATTTGCATTTTTTTTTTTTTTTTTGGTTCCAGAAAATAATGCCTGTTGTATCTCAATAATAAATCGGTGAGGAATAATCTATTATTTATCATTCCTTTATTTTACCTTCCATTGTTTAAAAAGATTATTTTCCTGCTTGTTTTGGTAATATTCTAGATGGGAACATCAAAAAGCCATCTTTCATTGTCCAGCTTGTTGCCTTTTTAAGAAAATATTTTCATGAAATAGCACACAGTTAGAAAGTAATATGAATAAAATTCTGTAAAGTATAAAGCGCCTTGATCCCGTGAGCGCCCAGCTCCCCGCCCACGTGAGGAATGAGGAGGGGCGCAGGGTAAGGGCCCGGATGCTCCCAGGGGCCCGGCCTGACTGCGCATCTTCCTCTCTCCCTAGAAAGCATCGCTGGCCTGCGTGGTGGGCTTATTATTTTCTTGTTGTTCTTTAACTTTTCTCTCCGATGTTTGTGTCCTGAAGTACCACATGGCAAGTTTTTGAACTTTGAATGAATTTGATTATACTGAAATTTGCTTTTTTGAACTTCGTTACTTTTTGACAGTTATGTCATTGTACAAGTCTGAAATTAATTCATTATTACCAAAGTGTGGCATCCCATTGTGTAAATGGATACTCATTTATTTTCTCTTTTTGTTTTTATTCGTTAATGAATATGAATTTGCAGAATGTAAGAGCTTTTCTTCAAACCCCAATATATTGTGGGGTCCTTCATCCCTGTCAGTGTGTATTGATATCACACAAAGATGTCATCACTGGCCTTTCCTCAGGAGTTTCTTCGACCAGAGAGGAGAGAAAGTAGAAGATTTATTTAGTTTGGTTTTGGCCAGTGACAGGCACTGAGACAGGGTCTGAGTGTAAGCAATTTATTAGGAAGGTGCCCCTGGGAAGCCTGACGCGGGAGCAGGAAAGTGAGACAGGAAAGGACACTCGCGAAGCCCGTGGCGATCAGTGGTCTCCCACGCCAGAGAACGGGGCTCGGTCACACCCGCAATCCTCTGAGAGACGGTGTACACGAAGCTCTAGGCTGTTCCACTGGAGTGTAAAGAAAGCCAGGGATTTAAATACCAACTATTGGTCCACTCTGCTTGGTGGATGCTTCTGGGACAATGAATATCAGGCATTTCTGGTCAGCTCCATATATATGGACTGAAATGTTTACCCCCAAACAGAAGACATGGGGAGCCCTCAGGACATGAAGACAGTCCCCGAAGGTGACCCGTGCAGTGGGCGGAGGGGGTGTGGCCAGCGGCCACAATCTATTTGCATCTTAAACTAGTGTTCTTACAAAATGCAAACCCTACATTACTAGTCTACTCTTTTAGAAGATTCAAGAATTGTTGCTCACAGGTTACATTAAGATAACTTAATAACTGAGTGCCGTGTCTGTGCAGTCAGCGCTCAGACCCACCTACCTCTTCAGTCTTTCGAAGCCACACGTTCCCCCAGCAGCACGCACAGGGCTCCTCTGTTTAGCTAGACTGTCCCGACAGGCCCTACAGCTGCCTCTTCGCATCTTCATACATTCATCGTCGTGTTCCTTTAATGAACACCCATTTATGGAATACTTACTATGCTAAGCACTGGATTAACAAATGTCTAAGTCATATTCTTAAGAAGCTTGCAGCTAAGCGTGGGAGTCAGATCTAAACCTGATTAAAATAAAGTGTAATGAATATTTCATAGAAATATATAGAATAGACAAGGAAAATGAAACAGAAATAATTCATCCTGTAAAGAAGTCGAAGAGTTTTCAACCCACTTTTAAAATCTATTCATTCACAGTTTTGTGCCTTTGTGAATTGTGTTCTCTCCTCTTGAGATGTCCTTCCCTGGTTCCCCTGCTGGACATGCCTCTACTTATCCTTCAAAGGCAACACTGAACAGTTAGTTATTCATTTGCAAAATTTTCCTATGTAAGACACAATTAAGTTCTTATTTCTCTGCATTTCAATTTTACGTCATGACATCAAGCATTGAATCATCCTGTGACAATGAGATTGACAACGTGATTCTCCAGAGTAAGTTTACTTATGTTCAGAGAGATGAAGAGAGACAGATGGGTACTTACAGTTTAGAACTGCCCAACCCTTCATTTGCTGAATGAATAAATGAAAATGTGACTTCCAACACCCAGATGATGTTTTGTTGACGGCGAGGACCACAGTCTACACATTTTGAGATG